CAACGTGATCCTGCTCACCGGGGAGGCACTTCTCTGCCAGTGGAGCTTGCCACTCGGCTGAAATGTCCAACGACTGAGATCCTTGTCGAACATCAAGCTCATCTTAACATCAGCCGGCCGCCAGATGGTCCGGCCTGGCTGCAAAGCAAGGCGAGCTGAGCACTCCATCTTCCCAGCGTATGTCGTCCTTGCCTACGCGGTATGGAACTGGTGGCTGCAGTCCAAGATGGGCCACTGGCTGTACTTCTTCATGGACTACAACAGGCCTTTCTTGCACTCTTGCATGTTTGATGGCCTTTCTTGAGTCTGCAGCTGCAGCTGTGCTTCAGACGAGTTTCTAGACGCGCAAGGCCATCCATGATTCCAACGTTCTTCATGCTTGTCGGGATCAATGTGGCATCTTTCCGCGCTGGGGCGAGCTTGGTGGGCCTCGGAGCTTGACCAACGGATTTGGGCGGCGCGATGTTAATTGCAAGAGCCGTAGCATTCTTGTTGTTTCTACAAGCTATGGGGATGGACATGCCGTCTCTGAATAGGTATCCTATTATCATCCCTAGTTATTCTTATTATTACGAGCCGCACGCATCGGAGTCACGGAGGAGGGGGCCGTCACAAGACAGATCGCCAGAAAGAAACGCCCTGCATCTGTTCCCACCGCATGGTCATCATGCTGCTGCAATATAATTACATCAGCTGTTGCTTCATGAACCTGTTCCATGTTGAGCTGCTCAGCATGCAGTACTGAACTGGTCCGAAAAATGGGAGAAGCATGAGCAGCCAGAAGTGAGCTCCACCGTTGAATGCCAGCAACCTGTCGCCTCACAAGTGAGCCAACACGAGGGTGCACAAAAGCGCTCAACAAAGGCGACTGACCTAATAAGAACCGAATCTCCGGAAGTGCGCTCCAAAAATTCGGTGCACAAGGGGCAAGCAGTGGACAAGCAAGGGACGACAAGGAGACCACATGCGAGACGGCTGGGAGGTATGTGCTGAGATGTTTTCCCTGAGCAAGTACTCCTGCTGCCGCACGGTATCGCTTAAGAGCCGCTTGACCGTGGGTCACAAACTGCGATTTTAGGGTTACATGTTTCTGTCATCCTTCTCGCTTTGGTTCTGTGGCGATTCTGCTTAGTGATCGGTTTGAGTGTCTGGCTTTGCAGAGAGTTCATGGCGGCAACGAGGTCTCCGCTCGGTTGAGTCCACTAGAGTCACTAGTTTTGCTTACGTACGTCATTTCAAGCAACGCAACAGAACGGGCCTGTACATCGGACGTCTTCGTATGCGCCTTCCACCTGACGAATACACCAGCCTCCGGGGTAAGACTTGGGCAGACCAGCGGAGAGACAAATGGTAAGCGGGGAGAGGACATGGGCACCGGGGACAAAAGCGAGAAACAACACCCCGAAGTGCGACGCATCTGGCGCCGACAGCAAACAAGCCAGGAGACAAGCGAATAGAATAGATTAAGCATAGTCGCGAGAAACCTTCAAGTTGAAGCAGATCAAGCGGCAGCAACAGCTCTGTCGGGGATCAAGCCACTTGGCAGTTCTAGTGTAGATCTAAGACCCACCGAATACAAAGTAGTCTTTGCAGCATAATTGCTTGGAGCCCAAATCTGTTGAGATTCCCGAGATTTGTGCTTTTTAATCTGGTCCACCGGGCCGGTGTTTGCAATGTGGTTGGATCCACACACTTGGAAAGTTTCCAGAATGTCGATCACCCGCCAGTATCGAGACTCACCATAGCGGTCTTAGGGCGAATTGTCCATGCCTTCTCGTTTTCCTCGTCCGAGAAGTGTTCTTCCGCACCTGCGAAGCTGGTGCGACTTATCTCGAAGCCTGGTGGATCTTGGCCTCGGGGCATCACTGAGGGTTCCGTTCTTCTCTGTTCGTACTTCGAGCCTGCGAAGGCTGTACGATGTTTGTGGAAGCCTGGAGCAACTGTTCCGGCATTTTGAAATTCAGACTATGACCATCTCTCGCCTCTGAAATCTCAGTTAAACGCCGGTGGACGCTCCGTGCCGTGGGGGCTCGACGCCTGCGCAAAAAAGACTTGTGGGCCGGTGACCGGGATGCTCCAGGCTTTGGAACTTCATCTTGTCAACGCCAGTCAGCTCGTTAGTGCTTGTCTATCTCTAGAAGTGTTCTAGAAAGCCCGAAAAGCACGAACTTGATGGGACGTTTCTTGTGAGGGGGTCAGTTCCGGGCTTGCCATCTTCATGGACTCACCTTGCGACTACCCCCCGGCCGAGTTGTGATGAAAGGCTTTTGCAGGGTGTGGCACGACAAACACGGTGCCCTGGTGGAGCCTTTCGCTGGCTGGGTTGAGCTAGAATAGGCCCATGTAGTCCCTCGAGAAATGGATGGCCACGTGGCTGTGATGCTTCTGCTCATTTCCTTGTCTTGGGGCCTTCCTTTCTTCCTCGTCATTGCCACCCGTTGCATATTCAGATGTGGTGGGGCTCATCAGCCGCTAGCGGCTATGGGTTGGTGACATCCGTGGCAGAAGAAAATCCACGTTGCAACAGCATCGAGAGAGTTTGTAAGGCGTAATGAACGCTCGGGGGAACATCATGAGCCGATCGGAATCGGTCTCCCTTTACCGAGGTGCCTTCTAAAAACTGCCTAGGGCAAGACAATGCCCAAGCTCTGTTTTTTGTCCTGTTAAAAAGGTGAGCCACTGCATACGTCGGTGTTGGGAGCTGCTCCCATAGCCCGATAGGGTGCAGGGCTTTGACAATGGCTAGCGGCAAACAGGTTTCTTAACTGCGGGGCCATTGCAGGTTTGGGGTTCTTATACCAGAAGATGTCTTCACAGACGCAAGCTTCTTGAATGAAAGCTCCGAGCACGCGGCAGCGCAGGAACCGGACCTAGACGAGAGTTGTACTTTTGGGCCATTTTGGGCCCCAATGCGGGTTGGAGCTTGCGCTCAGGTTTTCTGCATTTTCTGCTTGCCGCAGCTCACGGCCCTTTCACCAAGTCGGAGCGGTTAGTGGTTAGTTCGGAGAACGACGCATCAGTTTCTGGAGGCGGGAGTCAGACTCCGGATCCGTTCCTGCGGACATCCTTGCGTGAGTCGTATGCAGGGTTGCTTCCGGTGTGATCTTGTGTGTCTCCGCACGACGTGCCCGCGGCCCATCGTGGCCCTGCAGGGATCAGCACTGATGGCCTCCATTTTCCAAGAGCCGGCGCTGTGCGCCGAGGCACGGCCGGTAGCAACCTCCTGTGACCGGTTTTTCACTTTTTGACAGAAGCTTCAGCATTCACCCCTCAGGACCTTTCGCCAAATTCCATCTCGAACTTGGCGGAGGCGGGAGTATTTCGCCCGCGCTTTCGTGAATCTTTGTTTCTGTGTTTTTGTTTTGCCGGCCAGGGAACCGACCTCTTTAATGTTAATGCGGCGGATGACTCAGTTGACATGCAGGATGTCATGCAGTGTTGGTGTTGGCAATTGGCGGGCAGAAGAAACGTCGGGGCGGTCTGGGGCAGTCTCGGAAAGGCTCAGTGTGTCATGACTCTGCAATTCATGCATCGCCATCGTTGCTCGTGTGCGTCGCTCAGGAAAGCTCCGAGAAGCCGTCTGCGAATGCTCAGGAGGTGGGCTGGAGACATCGTGCGCGCGCGCGTGCCCATTCGCACGAGCTCTGGCCAGCAACCAGAAGTGAACTCTGGCTTGCTTTTTGTGCCAGGCTGATTCGAAGTTGAAGAAGCAGGCCAACCAGGACGGGCAATCGCCCGATCAGAGTTGACATGCAGCTGCTTGTTCCCGTCTTGTGTATCCTCTGATCGCAGGCTTCCACGATCGGGCCTGAGCCCTTGTTGACGGGCGTGGAGACGAACGGGCCCTGGAAGGGGGTGTCCCGGCGCAAG